GTACCTGTGCATGGAACACGCAGTTCTTGCATCTGAAAACTGCCTTCGGTGTGAGGATTGAAGTAAAGATTACCATTGTGGTAGAGTTTTTTGTTTTTTTTTGGTTTTTCTCCGGTACCGGGAACCGAACTCACGACCTTGCGCTTGCCAGGCAGGCGCTTTTGCCACTGAGCTAAATCCCCAGCCCCGGTAGTTGATTTGATAGAGGTGGTTTTTATCAGATTGAAACAAAGACCTTCTATTCCAACTTTCTGTAGTTTTATTTTATTTTTTTATCATGAATGAGGTGTTGGACTTTGTCAAATGCTTTTTCTGCACATGTTGAGATGATCATGTGGTTTTTATCCTTGGTTCTGTTAATGTGGTGTATTACATTTATTGATTTTCATATGTTGAACCATCCCTTCATCCTTAAGATGAATCTTACTTGGTCATGGTGTATAATCTTCTTGATGGTTTGCTGCATTCTGTTTGCCAGTATCTGTTGAGGATTTTTACATCTATATTTATAAAGTTTATACTTTTGACTAGAAGTTTATACTTTTGACTAGAAAAGTTTATACTTTTGACTAGAAAACTACTATAGCAAGATTTTATTTCTTAATTTTGTCTCTAGATCTGCATTAGGGAGATTGGTTTATAGTGTTCTCTTTTGGTCGGGTCCTTCTCTCGTTTTGGTATCAGGGTAATACTTGCTTCCAGGATTGAGTGGGTTATTTAGAATTTTATTATCTTCTTGATTGAGACTTGGTAATTCATATATGTCAAAGATTCTGTCCGTTTCTTCTGCATTTTCCATCTTATTGGAGTACGGGTTCTCAAAGTAGGTATTGATGATCTTCTAAATTTCTGCAGGATCTGTTGTAATTTCACCCTTTTCATTCTGAATTGCATGGATTTGAGTCTTTTTTTTCCTGTTTTTGATAAGGTCAGCTAAGGGTTTGTCTTTTAATCTTGCAAAGAACCAACTCTTTGATTCATTGGTCCTTTGTATTATTTTCTTAGTCTCAATTGCATTAATTTCTGCTCTGATCTTTATAATTTCTTATTTCGTATGTGCTTTGGGTTTAACTTGCTCTTTGTCTAAAAGCTTAAGGTTTAACATCAGGTTATTTATTTGAGTTCACTTTTTTCTTATGTGGTGGAATTCACCAGTATAAATTTCCCATGTAGGGTTGCTTTCATTGCATCTCATAAGTTCCAGTGTATCATATTGGCATTATTGTTTTCCTAATAATAGCAAGTCAGCTATAATTCTGTCAGAATCTGGTCACCTCCCAGAAGCCGCACCTATGATCACATGAAGCTTTGAGGGGATATCTGTTAGTCTAAATCATAACAGTGCCCTCTAATCTGAGCTACGCTGTAATCCCCGCTACTTAGAGAGGGAGGCAGGTGAATTGTAAATTGAAAGCCAGACTGAGCAGTTTAGGAAGATCCTGTCTCAAAACCAAGATTTTTAATAAGGGCGGGGTATAGCTCAGTGGTAGAAATTGCTTACCTATCATTCATGAGGTGCTGAGTTCAACCTCCAGCACTAGGGAAAAAAAATGAGAAAAAAACAGGTTCATATTTCTTTTGCCAGCATTTACGGAAGTTTATACTTTTGACTAGAAAACTACTATAGCAAGATTTTATTTCTTAATTTTGTCTCTAGATCTGCACTAACATGGTGACCATTAGCCACATACAGCCACTGAGCTTGTGGAAGGTGGCTAGTCCAAATTGAGAGAGTTGCTGTAAGTGTAAAACACACATCTAATTTAGAACACTTAGTACAAAAAGTACAAACACCTCATTTTTAAATGTTGGTTACATAATGAAATGATAACAATTTGGATATTTGGGATTTAATAAACTTTTGTTTCATTTTGCTCTGTAAAAATGCGATCATTAGGAAATTAAAGTTATACATGTGATTTTTTTCTATTGGACAGTGTTACTCTACGTAATTTTATAAGGAAAATTAATAACATATGTGCCTAAGCTAATGTTTAGGTCTTTTAAAACTATTTAGTTTCTTTGCGACAGGGTCTCACTGTGTAGTTCACACTGGCCTTGAACTTGAAGTGATTCTCTTTAGTCTTCTAAGTGCTGGGATCACAGGCGTGCACCACCGTACTTGGTTAGACTTTTTAAAAAAGATACAAGTTACATACTGTACAGTTCATCCATTTCAAGTGTGTGATTGAATGGTGTTCAGTTGTGCTACTTCCCCTACAGTTTTAGAGCATTTTATCACCTAAAAATAAACCCCATACCCAGTAGCAGTCACGCTACATTTTCCATCTATGTTACTCTTACCCCCAGGGAACAACTAGTCTTTCTTCATCTATTTCCTTGTTCTGGACCCTTCATTTAAAAGGGACCCTGTTACAGTCCTTTGTGTCTAGATGCTTTCACTTAGCATACTGTTCTCAAAGTGTCATTCAAGCTGTAGTGCATGTTGGATGAGTGAATAATATTCCATTATGTATGTGTTAGTTACCTTTTCATTGCTAGGGCAAAATGCTTGAGATACAACTTAAAGGAGAAAAGGTTGATTTTGGCTTATAGTTCCCGAGTCTTTGGTCCATGGTCAACTGGCCTCAAGACAGAAACATTATGGTAGAAAGGCATGATAGGGCACAGCTCCTCACATTGTGGCATCTAGGGATAGAGATGGAAAAGAGCCAGAAAGGAAGCGGATGGGGACAAGATGTACCCAAAGGCATACCCCCAGTGACCTGCTTCCTCCAACAACTATAAACTCAGCAATGGTTAATCCATCCATGAAGTTAACGCCCTCACAATCCAGTTACCTTCCTAAGCATCTTTTAATCCAATTAAGTCAGTGGTCAGTGTCACAGTATAGATGTGCCATATTTTATCTGTCAGCTGATGGACATTTGGATTGTTTTTGTTTGACTATTATGAATAATGCCTCTGTCAACACATGTTTTCATTTATCCTTTGTTGTACACCTAGGAATGAAAAGAATAAGATGGGAAGTGTTCCTTCTTTATAGAGGTATTGATATTGGTATTTTTTAGATGTTTGGTAGAATTTACCTGGGTAGCCATCTAGACCTGATTTTTTTTTTTAAATGTGGTCTCTCTCTCTCTCTCTCTCTCCCCCTCTCTCTGTCTCTCCCTCTGTCTCTCTCTCTCTCTCTCTCTCTCTCTCTCTGTGTTTTCTTTTTTCATCTTTTTGAGACAGGTTTTTGCTATGCAGTTCAGGCTACTTCGTAGCCCATGCTGGCCTCGAATTCACAGTGATCCTCCTATCTTAGCTTCCTGAGTGCTGAGATTATAGACATGTGCCACCACACCTGGCCCAAATCTTTTTAAAGCAGAGTCTCTTGGACTTGTTTGTTTTTGTTTTTTGGTTTTTTTTTGAGACAGGGTCTCACCGTGCAACTCAGGCTGGTCTTGAACTCACTGTGTACCCCAGGCTGGCCTTGAACGCTCAGTGATCTTCCTGCCTCAGCCTACTGCGTGCTGGGATTACAAGCATGTGCCACTGTGCTTTGGTAGACCTAAATTTTTTATAGTGCCTGGTGGTTCTTGTTTTGTTAGTTTTCTTTTATTTATTTATTTTTCAATTCAATCCTTTACTTGTTATAGGTCTATTCAGGACTTCATGTTTCTCCTTGAGACAGTTTTGGTAATTTGTGTTTTACTAAGAATTGTCAGTTTGATGTAAATTAAATTGTTCATGGTGTTTGTCTTTTCTATCTTTGTAAATTTAATACTAACGTCTCTCATTTTGATTCTAGTAGTTGAGTCTTCTGTCTCAGTCTAATTTTGTCACTTTCATTAATCTTTTCAAAGAACCAATTTTTTATTTTGATTGTTTCTGCAATTTTTAATTCTCTATTTCATTAAGTTTCACTCTAATCTATTACTATTTTCTTTCATCTTCCAGTGCTTTAAGATAGAAGTTTAGGTTATTGATTTGAGATCTTTGTTCTTTGCAGTATGGGTAGTGATTTTCCACTAAACATTTCATTTAGTAGGTTTGGTATGTTATATGTTTTTATTCATCAACTATTACTGATTTCCCTTGTGATTTCTTCCATTGGTTTTTTTAGCAGTAGATTATTTTTCACAGATTTGTGAGTTTCTCTAATTTCTTCCTGTGATTGACTCCTAACTTTATTCTGTTATAACTGGAGAATTTATTTTGTGTGATACCAGTCTCTTAAATTTGTTCATGTTTGTTTATAGTCTAGCATTTGTTCTATCCTGGAAAATACTCCGTGTGCAGAGGATGTATATTCTGCTATTGCTGGATAGAATTTTGTATAGAGGTATTAGATCTAGTTGTTGTATAGTATAATTCAAATATCCTACTTCCTTGTTAATCATCTGTCTCTGTCCATTTTTGGAAATAGTGTATTGAAGTCTGTAGCTGTTAGTGATTTGCCTAGTTCCCACTTCATTTTTGTTAGTTTTTCTTTGGTTCATTTTAGTGCTATATATGTGTATAGTGATATATATTTATACACACACACACACACACACACACACATATAAGATCTCTTTGATGAATTGATCTTTTTATCATTATGAAATGTCTTTTACCTCTTGTAACATTTTTATTCCAGCCTTTTGGGACCAGGGAGATAGCGCAGTGGCATAAGCACCTGCTGGCAAGCGCAAGGTCCTGAGTTCGATTCCCAGTGCCCAAAAAATATAGACATATTCCAGTCTTTTTTGCCTGTTATTAGTATAAGCTGTTCCTACTTTTCCTGTAATTGCCGTTTGCATGCAATTATATCTCTTTCCATTTATATTCAGTCTGCTTGTATCTTTGAAGCACATATCTCCTATAGGTAGCATACTGTTGGATTTTGCTTTTTATTCCAGTTTGTAAGTTTCTACCTTTTGATGTGATTATGTAATCCACTTTCATTTAATGTTATTGACATTTGGATTTATGTTTCTCATTTTATTGTCTGCCCCAATTCTCCTTCTGGGATTCCTTTTGCACCATTTACTAATAAAATATTATTATTTTTTTCATTACATTTTCAGTGTGTTTCTTTGAATTATTCCTTGGTAGATACCATAGGGTTTACCATATATACAATTTAATGTATCATGATCTCTTCAGATTTATACTAATGAAATTCCAGTGGGACATAGAAACATTGCTAATAGTTCTGATTTCTGTGATTAGAGTTTATTCACTACATTTGTTTATAATGTATATATTTATTTCAGGTATTAAGCCTGTTGGTACAGCTATAAAAATAATCTAAAAGTAATTTTCTTTACAGTTAGAAACAAGAATAGAAGAACTTAATAAAGAAGTTAAAGCTTCCAAAGATAAATTAGTAGCTCAAGACGTTGCAGCTAAAAATGCAATTCAGCAGTTACACAAAGAAATGGCTCAAAGGATGGAACAGGTATTTATAGTTTATTATTGAAACTTGATGGTTTATTGACTCTTATTTATTAAACTAACTCTGTAAGAACAGGTCATTTCATTTGTATAAAAATTCACCTTTTAAAATTAAGCAGTATATTAAGTACATGCTAATTGTTAAAAAATTAACTAAGAAAGTATATGAAATAAAGAAAGCCTTCCATCTAAATTTCTGCTTTCTCTGCCTCCAAGCTTTTTATATCCCATGCCTTATTTCACAGCTGATTATTGACATTTTGGTTATATATCAGATCATATATATGTACAAATCATATATCCTTACATATATAGGTATATATATATATCTCTTTCCATTAGTCTGTTATGTGTTTCAACACATACCTGAGTCTGAGTACTCTAGAAAGAAGAGTTATTTATCATTTATCATTATGTGCTGGAGATCTAAAAGCAGCTGAAGTCAGTGGAATAAAAGGCCACCTGACAGGAGCAGTAGCCTTCTCCCAACCTCTGGTGACTAGAGGAGACAGATCTTATTTTACTTAATTCTTGCCCTGCTGTCAAGTGCCTCCTGCTGGCTGACCCCAGCTGGAAGTTTGAAAATGGATTATATGGCCCCTGATGGTCCTCTTCCTGGGATGGATCAGAAAATGGTGAGAAGCAGATATGGGGGAATAAATGAAAGTAACAACCATATCAGCCAAGGTAAAAGGAATTAGGAGAAGACAAAAGTAAATATTAGTGCTCTATCATTTTTCTTTAACTTTGAATTTTTCCCTTTTTCCTGAAATTTTATGGCACAAGTCCAGGAAATGTTTTAAAAAAAACAGTGGTTACAGTGTAGGAAAATGTTTAAAATATTTTATGCATAAAAATATTTCTTATTAATGCTAAATAATATTTTTAAAGGCCAATAAGAAATGTGAAGAGGCACGCCAAGAAAAAGAAGCAATGGTAATGAAGTATGTAAGAGGTGAGAAGGAATCTTTAGACCTTCGAAAGGAAAAAGAAATACTTGAGAGAAAACTTAGAGACGCAAATAAGGAATTTGAGAAAAACACTAATAAAGTTAAGCAACTTTCTCAGGAGAAAGGACGATTACAGCAGCTGTATGAAACAAAGGTATAATTTACACCTTACTTGAAATTTATTCTTTCTGCTTTTCCTTGAATAATAACATGGTTAAAAATATTAAAGTATAAAGTTACTTTTATTAGCTTACCTACTAAGAATAGGAATGTTTCAGAAATTGCAGCATCTCATTACCTGGTTGCAAAAAAGTTTGCTGGGGAACTTTTTCTTGATAGAAGTTTTTTAATTAATACATTTGAATAATGAGGTTTTTTGGTATATTGGTACATTTATAATATATTTTTATTCTTTCCATTCCTGTTACCTACCCCCTCACTCTGGTCCCTTTCACTATCTCTTTAAAGTCTGCCTTCTAATATCATGTTATTGTGACATTAAAATCTATATATTGGAAAAATTAGTTTAAGCTTTAAATAGAGACTATATCTTGGTAAAATACATATATAGTGTCAAATATGAATAATTTTAGAGCCAAGTAATTTTAGAAAAGTATAATCTGGCCAGAATCTTAATGTAGCACTAACCATAGAATATAGTTTTTTTCTTTCAAATAAACATATCCTTCTTAAGACTCAGTCTTAGGGAGTTTTATTACTGAGATAGCTATTCAGAGCTCTTATTGTTAACTTTTAATTGAGAAATACTGTTACTAGCTTTAGGAATTCTAGCAAAATCAATTTAGTTTATATTTCACCTTAATATTAGCTTGTTAAGAATCATAAAAGGTATATTTGCGCTTATAACATACCTGGTTGTTTAAAATATGTGTTAATTATCTTCATGATTATTAATAGCCTTTAGGATTTTATTGCTCTCTTTTATTGTTTGAACCTTGAATCAGTTTTATAGCCTTGGGTCTATACAGCACTTTAATTATACTGTTACTGCACTGATTACTTTTAGGGAATATAAAAGATATACAGATAATTTAGCTAGTTGTGTTAAATGAAAAATATGACCTATTGATATTATTTTAGGAAGGTGAAACGACTAGACTCATCAGAGAAATAGACAAACTGAAGGAAGATATCAACTCTCACATCATTAAAGTAAAGTGGGCACAAAACAAATTAAAAGCTGAAATGGATTTACATAAGGTGAGTACATGTAATGCAATGGAATAATAGTTAGAATTAGTTTTAGGAGCAGATATGGTTAAGAGTTCATGGAGCTTCCTTTAAGGACTCCTACAGGGTAATTTGTACCTAAATATTTGGTGGGTATGAAGAAGAAAAAGTTTTGCATGATTTAAATGGTTTGAAATGTTAAATTTTGTCATTCATAGTTTACAACATCCAAACTTGCCTTGTTCTTTAAACTTTTTTTGGTGTGCAAATTTGGGGGGGGAATAACTTGTAAGTTACCAAGATTGAAAATAAACTCTTGAAATTTGTAAAGATGATGGTTTTAAGGTTCTTACTATTGAGAGATATACATTCTTATTTATAAATAAGCAACATAATTCTTTTAACGTTTTGGGGGGGTGATGCTAAGAATTGAACCCAAGGCTATCACACTAAACTACATTTCCAGCCCTTTTTTTATTTTGAGACAGGATCTTGCTAAATTGCCCTAGCTGGGCTCAAACTTGCAATCTCCTACCATGGCTTCCTAAAGTGCTGTAATTACAGCATGCCAACTATGCCTGAAAGCGTACCTGTTGTTATCTGTGTAATTTCACTGATACTGTGCTAGCAAATATCATTTTAATAAAGACTAACATAATAAAAAGTAATTTATAATTATAAAAGCTAATAACTGATGCCATAAATATAAATGTAAAGAGTAACTGGACTGGTATTTGAGGTAGTAAAACGCTACATTGATAAAATGTGAAGTAAAACAACTCTGAAATATGACTTAAAAGTTTCCAAAAATAATCTTAATGATATTATTTACAACAATAATTTTGAATTAGCACATTAAATAACTCCAAATCAATGGAACAGATAACCTTTGGATATAATATATTAATTTTATCAGGGAAAACTGTAGGGAGAGTAGTGTGTGTGTGTGTCTCTCTGTATATATATTGTTTGTTTGTTTTGAGAGTCTTGCTATTTAGTTCAGTCTGTCCTTAAATTCACTGTGTAGCCCAGGCTGGCCTCAAATTTGAGGCAGTCCTCCTGCCTCAGCTGTCTGAGTGCTGGGATTACAGGCATGTGTTACCACACCTGGCTGACCAGTCCATATTGACAGTGGTCAGAGATAGGGTAGAGAATAGTGTATTCCCCTCAAGTGTGAAATGAACTAACTACAAATCATAGTTGTATGAAAAACTGTAAGGCAGAGAAAGAACTGCCAGAAAAGAGCAAGGCACCAGTCCCTAGAATTCAACAGGGCTGTCACATTTAGTTTTCCTTTACCTTGAGTGCAGAATGAGGAATTAAGATTCCAAATCTACATGGGCAGTCATGATTTCTAACTGCCTGAGCTGCTTTAAGATTTGAGTAAGCCAGGCACAGTGGCACATGCCTGTAATTCCAGGACACAGGAGGCTGAGGCAGGAGGATTGCTATGAGTTTGAGACCAGCCTGGGCTCAATTCAAACTCGCCTGAACTATATGGTGAGACCCTGTCTCAAAACAACAACAAAAAGAGGATCTAAATATACTTCTTCTGACACCTTTGTCATATCTTCATCTATAGTCTTGAGACAAGATTCCAAAATCTACTGCAATACTAGTATTGAAGAGTGGAAAACTTAAGATTTGTGAGCCCTGTGTGTTCAAAGCATGGGCGATGAGACATTCTTAATGACAGCTTTGAGGTCAGATGAAACTAGATTCACTGTAAGAAGATTGGAGAGGTGGGTTAAGGCTGATTTCTGTAAGGTTACACAGTATAGATGGCTAAAAAGTGAAAATAACAAACAATGTTGGCCTGGTACATAGAAACTGGATATTTACCAGTTAAGTAAAGGTATTTATTAACCAGCAGGCATTTAGCTGTGTGCATAGCACTGTATTAGATAATATGGAGGGTAGAAAAGCCATGGAAGACAAAATCACTGCTTTTGAAGAGTATTTGGGAGAGCCTCCTGCTTAACTATTTTATGTGTTTATCTAGTAGATGTGAGAGGGATCTCTGGCTTAAAGGGTACAAGATTTAATCATGATCTGTGTAGTCAGAACTACCCTTTAAGAGGTGGACAAGAGACTTGAGGCTCTTAATAAATAATTTTTTAGGTTCCCTTTCCAGTTTCTTGGTCCTGCCCACCAAGTTTTAGGTAGAGGTACTAAAGCTGTTATAGGTTACTAGATCCATTGTGAGCATTAGTTTCTGTTAATGGCATTAGCAGACAGAAGCCTTGGCTAGGGAGACTGGACACCCAGAACAACATCAAACAATAGAAGCTATCCCCTCCCCTTAAACTTCTTTGGGGATTTAACTAAAATTACTTTTAAGCCAGGCGTGGTGGTGCACACTTGTAATCCCAGCACTGGGGAGGCTGAGGGAGGAGGATTGCTGTGAGTTTGAGACCAGCCTGGACTACAAAGTGGGTGGAAGGCCAGCCTGAACTGCATAATAAGGCCCTGTCTCAAAAAGACAAAAAAAAAATTACTTGTAATACCTAGCTTCTAAAAACAAAAGCCTTTTATTTTGAACGTAGTAAGTAAAGAAAAATGTCCTCCTCGTGATTATGTATGTCATTGCTACCTTTTCACCTGCCCAGTCTCGGTAAGGTGATCTTACTGAAGCGTAGATCTGGCTGGCAGCAGATGTACCTAGAGTTGTTAAGGTACTTGCCAGATTTTCTTCTTCAGAGAATGCTGAAGGAGTGGAATCCCAGGTGTTAAGACCAGCAGAGACTGATATACCCATATTGCAGACCTAATGTGTAGTCATTGTTGGTATATTTATGATTATTTTTTTCACTAGGTCTCCTAAGGCAAGACTGCTACTCAATGTGCTTTTCTCTTGAGGTTAATTATGTTATCAGTAATAGTCTCGGGGCTGGGGAGCACAGCTCCTGCCTGGCAAGCACGAGGTCGTGAGTTCAATTCCCAGTACTGGAAAAAAACCAAAACCAAGGGAAAAAAAAGTAATAGTCTCTTTCTTAAATGGTTTGGTTTCTCATCAGACCACTGATTAGAAGAAGCTAGAGTGCACTTTAAATTAGCCTTTTCGTTTTATCCCCTTTACCTATATTCTGTGTTCTGTTCTTGAATCATTCTGTCCTATAACTATATTCTGATTAAAATTCTGTCACATTATGAATAATATCCTGCCACCTTAGAAAACAAACACAAAAAACCCAAAATTGAAAAGAAAATACATGTAATGGAGGTCTTCAGACTTGAGACAGCAGATAGCATAGAATAATAGCTTGAGTGAGGGGGATAAAATGAGGTATAATGCCAGGAGATTTCCAGGGTACAGCACAAGGAGAGGAACCTAAACAGAGCTCAACAGTCTCCCTGAATTAAGGAGACAGAGTTCAGAGTACATGGGGCCTGCAGAGTTTCAGACAAGAGACAGGAATGGGGCCTACAATCTTGAGAGCGCACGTGGGGCTAGGAACTGTTCATACTCCCACCAGCTGAGAAGACCTCTCAAGACTCAGTGCATCGGGTCGCCCTCAGAAGGGTATTACTTTAGTTGTGGGGACTAATTAGCCTTACAGTAAGGTGTCTTATGGACCCACAGTTCAAAGCTTTAAACACCCAGGCTTGTTTCAGGTAAATCAACTACACCCCAAAACAAATTCCAAAAAATTTGAATAATTATAAAAACTTCAACACCTAAGACTATCAAATTCATTATGCTTAGCATCTAATAAAAAACTACTAGCATGCAAAAAAGCAGGAAAATATAGCCCATAATAAGAAGAAAGGAAGGATCAGTAGGAACAGTTCCAGAGGTGTCACAATATAGAATAGAAACGGTCCTCATTTAATGACCAAGTTCTGTCCCTGTGACTAGGTCATGAGCTGAATTGGTCACTAAATGAGGAATGGTATATTGCATGTACACCACAACATTTAGAAAAAGAAATGGTCAAAGGAAACTCCAACCTGATGACTTTGTTTTTATTTGCATAACTCTTACATGAAGCGCTAAAATGCGTAAGAGAACATAAAACTACAGTACTGTACAAAACAACCAGCAAAAATTGTAGTACTGTATAAATAAGGTATACTATATAAAATAAAGTCATTGAGGCTGTATAAACAAGATCTACAGAACTATACCCCCAAAAAAGATGGGTTGTAAGTCCAAACAGTAGTAAAACAGTTAGGTTGTTAAACCAGTATCTGTAATAGACAAGGATGTTAAAAGCTGCTACTTTAAGTTTGGCATAGTGGCGTATGCCTGTAATCCCAACCCTCGGAGAGACATTGCCGTAAGTTCTAGGTCATATTGGAGTATATAGTTCAAGATCAGGCTGGACTACACAGTGAGACCCTGTCTCAAAAAATTAAAAGAAAAAAAAACCTAAACAGCTACTTTAAATACACCATATGTTGAAGGCACTAAATAAAAGTATAAATAGCCGGGTGTAGTGGCACACGCCTGTAATCCCAGCACTAGGGAGGCTGAGGCAGGAAGATTGTTGCGAGTTCAAGACCAGCCTG